ATCGTGAATTTTCCACGCATTCTCCCTCTTTGTGACATTTTCTACAAATTAAATTCGCTTTTAACTACCTTGGAATTAATCCAATCGCGTGTTTATTTCTTGTAAACAACCTGCATTTTATCACGTATTTCACACAGAGAGGACAAAGTCCATATGGGCAACAACCAATCACGGAGCCCTCTTAGAAATATTATCCTTTTCTCTTGCTCAGTGTATCTTCCCTCATACGAGATCGTAATATATCTTTAGTTAGGGTCCATTGTAGATACAACAGTTTCAGTCTACTCTTCGCAGTAAAAGTACGTGCAATTATAGTTGTCAGGCGACTAACTGTAGACGAATAATTTTGATTTTCTTTCTGTTAGAGAAACGGCTGTGAGCGTAGTCTCTTTCTCAACCGTTATTTGATCTCGTCATGCAATGGCTCTCTCTCCAAAGGGGAATAGAGGGCGGTGTGACGAGATATTTCAGTAGCGAATATCAAGGGTACTTTCGCAGAAATTCAGGGGATATCTCAACTGGTTCGATTTAACTTGAAGTGGAAGCACAAAGTAAATCAAGTGACCATCTAGCGAGTGTTCACCGGAAAATAAGCTTGCAATACAGGTTGCATGTGTATATGTACATAATATGTATATATATATATATATAGATGTTATAGCCGCTTCCTAAGTGCTATATATATATATATATATAGGAAGTCTATGTTGCGATTTTTTTCGTAGTATAGTACTCGATATATGGAAGTAGAGCGCGATATATATATATATATATATATATAGGGATAGGGAAAAAACCAAAAGACCATACTTTCATCCCTGCAGGCCTGTTTCGTGATTGCTCACTCAGCAGGGGATTTTATTGTTCAGAATATTCGCAACCATCGTTTATGTACTTTACAGATTTGCATAATAGGCGTGGCGGTAAATTCTTTGTTCAATTGTTACGCAGTAACACTTTGTTTCTGTGGCGGCAGGAGGACACGAATTCATTTAGGTCGGCAGATGATAAGTAATTTTTCCTTGAGGCAGAGGTTGCATCTTTTGCTTGCGTTGTTGTAGGGTGATCTTGATGAAAGGATGCGCCATGAAATAAAGTGGTCAATGTTAATTTCTTTAAGGGTTCGGATATGTTTGCTGAGTTCGGTAGAGTTTCTGTGTTTTTTGTGTCGGAATGATGCGGTGTGGTTTCTGTATCTAGTCTTGAAGTCGTTTCTGTAAGTCCGATGTATGTTTCAGTGGTGCTTTTGTCCTTACGTATGACGGTGGCTTGGTAGATTAGGGATGATTGGAGGCAGTTTCCGTTAAGTGAGCATGTGTTCTTTCGTCGGCAGCTGCAAGTTTTGCTGTTTTTGTGTTGGTGTTATCTGCGGTGTCATGGATGTGTTTGGATGAATTTAAAATGCGTTTGTTGGGGTTGTCGACGATCTGTTTGGTGTTAATCATGCAGCTGTAACTGATCTTGATTGTATTACGATTAAAGATTTTTCTAAGTTTGTGGTCTTTAGGGAAGTGCTTGTCTACTAGGGTAAGGAATCTGTGTCCGATATTGGTGCTGACGTTTTTGCTGAATGGTGGTTGTACCAGAAGAAATTCTGGAAATATTCGAAATATTTTTCCAGTGACATCCCGATGCGTGACGACAACCGAGTTATTTTGTCCAACTTCAAAACAGATTTTCTCGTGAGGCGATGGTAAAATCGAAGAAGCTCACTAGCCAGTAATTTAGTTAACCAAACACCGTAAGTTTGTCTTTAAAGGCTTGCCCGTGCCTGTTAAGACGCATTACAACTCCATAGCGGATTAAATGTGAACCTCAAAAATTGAGGTTGTTAAGTATTCATATATTCAGGCTATTGTTCTTTCTCATTACTTATTCATTCCGATGAGTTTGCCGACATGCCGGCATGCTTCCGAAGATCGTGAAGAACGCAACTTCTTTGATGTAGGTGAGATATTTTTCTTTTGTTAACAGATGAAATAAACTCTCCCGGGAATCTGCTTGATTGATGTCTAATAATTGCAACGCATTCCGGTGTGTTGGGCAACATGTCAAAGACATCAACCTCGGATCAAACCCAAGCACTTATCAGTTTACATGTCTTTTCAAGTAGAAGTAAACATTGCATGCGCCTCGCGCCCCCAAACGGAGCTCGCGTATTTTAACATAGTACGGCTCTCCACGGAGGAAAATTTACAACAATTGCGTTGTCCGATTTGCTGACAACTTTCGCTTTTGTCCAAATTCCTAACTGATCGACAGCTTCGACAGAATCGCCAACACTAAACTCCATCGGTCACACGGTCAGATCACAACAAGTTAATTGGAACAAGACGAAAGTTGTGAAAGAATGAACCGCCAGCGCGCGAACACGAGCACTATTTATGACACGCAATATTTACATAATAAAGAAGTAGTTTAATTCAAGTGCAATCATTCGGATCAAAATAAAACGATCGGCGCTCGAAACGATAAACTATTTTCGCTTTTGCTCTTCGCAGTGATTACAACAACTCGTCCAAGATCCATTTTTAAATCTTTTGCGACGCTCTTTAATCCTAAAAACATATTAAGGCTAAAAATACACCGTGAATAGAAAATAAATCCATTCAAATGATTGCAGTTAATCGATCTCGAGTTCATTCATCTCAAGACAATGTAAACAAAAGGATACAAGATCACAAGTCTGTTCGCGCAAGGTAGCTTAATTACACTAACAAACGATTTGTTATTTTCAGAGTATATACTTTGTAGGCTTTACAGTGATTTACGGTTTTCTATGCTTTTCTTTGAAGAGCGTGCGTAGGACGATTTTTTCGAAGAGCACTTTGTTTTTGAAAGTAACCTTAAAGGTGCATCTAAGATCTTGGAATTTCCGCAATGTAACTCGCTGAAAATCCTTTTACAAAATACCTGGAATTGAAATATCCCTCTGATAGCTTTCTTCTACTGGTTAAGAAATATCTTTCTCGTGCATCATCATTTTTTTTTCTTTCATTTTGACTTTTTTCTATTAGCTTTCGTTTTGTTTTGTTTCTATATAGTGATGCACAGCTGTTGGTTTGAAATTATGAGTTTTGAATATGGCCAGATATTCGGCATTCCAAATTGAAATTCAGCTCTTCACTTCCCAACTTCAGTCAAAGTTATAGACCTATAAAATTTTGCGTCCTCTCACTTCAAAAGACCAGACAAACTTATTACTACACTTTTACCCCTCCAACCCTCTTCGCTTTCATAATTCATCACCTTGGTACCATTCTTCCACGCTCCTACAATTCCTTAGTTCCAAACTTCCACGCGTCCAATCTTCTATCACCTTTCGCGCACCCTTAAATGGAATATTTATTCCTTCAATTCTTTCTAAATTCCTCACGGATTAGTTGCATTGGGCAGTGAAACCAAAACCGTAGTATTTTACAACACTGATTTACCAGAATCAACGAAAGAATTTAAATAATTCAGTTCTTAGTTTAAGTGTGCATAGTTTCAATTTGTAGAATGCGAGTTTCTTCAAGAATAAAACAAACAAACTACGTTGAAGTCGTGGGCACTCTAAACAGTCGGGTAAGCTGCATGTAACACGCTATGATGCTTGAGGAGTGCTTCACAACACCAGATCTACATATACTAGCCTACTTGGTTTGAATTTAAGACTTTCAGAACCTAACGGTGAGTAATTTCTGAAAACGAAAACAAGCCGAGGCACTTACCGGGAATAGAACGTCTCGTTCGATTACCAGAACTTTAACTTTCGGTTTCAGCGGCTCTTACTCTTCAAGCGGAGGGACAGTCAAATATGTTGAGACCAATTCACAAATCACGGCCACGTTACGTCTTATTACTCCCAATGTTTTCGCTCAATGCTCTGTTATGTAAAAGATAGATCTCGGAACCCTCATAACGAAAAATATCCCTTGAATAACGTCAGAGGATTCCAAATCGAAAGACGTGGGAATATTGACGCATAAAACTCCATCCGGGACTTCTGCGCTAAGCCAGGTTTGTTGTTAATCTTAAATCAACACTGCAAGTTAGAGGGAAATACCGGAGTTATGAGAGGTCAGACTAAAGGGGTCGCAGATATAAGTTCAAGAAATAGATTATGAAATAATCATTACAATACGGGCAATAAAGTTCATCACGCAATAGTCACTAGTTTTTATGGAAAAATACATATCACCATCGGTTTCTACGATCCGCGGAAATCGTGGCAAGGTATTCCCAGCTCATTACATAGCTTTCAGTTTCCCCTATTCAGACTTGAATATGTCCTTGTTGTTTTCTTCCAATCATGTCTAGAAAACCCCAAGTCTTTCTCATAAATCATTACTTTGTCCTTCTAATCTATTCACTCATGGTGTCATGGTATTGATTTTGAGACATAAATAAGTGGAAAGAGGGGTAAAATTGTATATTTTACGACATACAAGGACTAACCATGCACAAAGTTAATTTTGGTTTACCGTGGTTAATCACTGTATTTCCCGGGATGAGTTTCTTTCCTCCACATCCAAAGCTGTTTGTGTCTGATAATGGGGACTGTAAAATGCCTGGAGAAGTTGTTAAACTACTTTCTAATGAATGAGCGAAACTCATCTTCACTTAAGGAAATAGGCAGTTAGAGCGACTTGAAGCCAAATGTCACGATAGTCTGTCATGATCTATGTAGGTACGTTAATCTGTGTCACGGCGCTCTTACGCACCGCTATATAACTTTGCCGTGGAATTTTCAAAGCTTTTCTTTGTTGAACATCTTGAAAAAGCAAATTACAGCCGGTAAGATTTCCTCTGTCCATCCTTAAAATTATCCGAAATAATTATTCGCAGTATTAGTGCCAGTTGAAGTGGAACTACAATGTACTGAGACTACTATCCTACAATCTACCGACCCTCTACTGCTACCGACAGAGGACATTATGGACTCACTGAACCTTTGCTTGACATGAACTTACTTTCAGTACAACGGTAAACACTACAAACAGTTACACGGTACAGCTATGGGGTCTCCACTTTCTGTTGTTGTAGCAGAAATTGTGATGCAGAAAATCGAGGAAAGCGTCCTTTCGACTTGCCGACAGACGATACCACTTTGGTTACGCTACGTTGACGATACTTTCACCGCTGTACGACACGACGAAATCGACGCATTCCACCACCACCTTAACGAACAAAACACTGACATACAGTTTACTAGAGAAGTCGAAGAAAATGGTAAACTACTTTTTCTAGACTGCCCGGTAAGCCGTGACTACAACTCACTACGGACAACAGTTTACAGAAAACCGACACATACTGACGGTTTACTGGACGAGTCATCCTACAACCCGACATCACACAAAGCCACTACCATCAGGACTCTTACCCGACGAGCGCAACTTGTATGCAATACGACAGACAGCTTATCCGACGAGAACAAGTACCTTAGCCGAGTTTTTCCAAAGAACAAGTACAACGAAGACTTCATCCAACGTAACACTCACAGACCTACTACTATTACCGAAGCTAACGACAACGCAACTCCTACGACCACAGCAACTATACCATACATAAAGAGTATATCTGAGAACATCTCGCGCATCCCACAACCACTTAATATCCGCGTCGTTCACAAACCTATTACTCACTACGTCAGTTACTGACTAACGTCAAAGACAAAGACGAACCGAGGAACAGACAAAGAGCAGCAGTATATAAGATCAATTGCTCCGACTGCCACGCCTCTTACATCGGTGAGACTGGCAGAAACCTCACAACCAGACTGACTGAACACAAACGAGCGACGAGGAAAGGCGATGTCAACAATCACTTTGCTGAACATCACCGACTTACGAACCACACTATTGACTGGGACTCTGCGCAATGCCTAACCTACAACACCAACTATTTTCAGCGAATGACCCTGGAAAGCTGGTTTACTAACTTGGAACAGACTCCCCTCAACAAGTGTCAACCACTACCGGCACCATACAAAGGACTCATTCACGACATTAACATTACAAACGAACCGAACTGAACGACCAAACTTCACTGATGGATCCAAACCGACCAATCACGACTGACCTACGCCACTTGAGTCTTACAGCCAATAACATTACGGCAAAACTGACCAATCAATTTATACAAACCGGACTAAGTACATTCGACTGACAGCAACCTTTCTCTTGACTCTGATGATGACTTCTGCTCAGGTTGTCGAAACGTCAGTCACCATAACCGACAACAGTCCTTCTCAGGACTACACTCACCCGGACGATCACACAACGCTATTAAAAGTTAGAACATGCTTTAATTTGTTAAACACGGAATAAAACTGTTTTCTCTGAAGAAGTTGCGCACTTTGATCAAATTGGCGACCTCAAATCTTTCTTTTTCAATTGATTTGTTGTGTACTTCACAAGACTTAGAACTTTCTGGCTTAGTGGAAGGGCTAGCATCGTATTTCTCCGTGTCCAGAATGAAACACCAGAAAAGAATAAATGATCTTTGTCTGTCGAAGGAAATCTATATAGAACGCATACATGTACTGATGTTAGGGTGGGAAGGGTTACGAAAGAAGACTCTGTGTTGGCACACAGCTGCTAAAAGAAATTTTCAGTTCGGCATGTCGCTCAACAGCAACTAGTTTCCGCGGCATAATCGGTTAACGCGTTCGGCTGTTAACCGAAAGGTTGGTGGTTTAAGGCCACCCGGTGACGAATTTTTGTCAATCTTCAGTGGTGAGAACTTATTAGATCCTGTAATAAGCACTTGACAAGGTTTCATATCATTTTTGTTGTCGACTCTGAATCCTTTGGATGCTTTTGCATGGCTGTTCCCTTTTTCTTGGTTATGTAAAATTCCCACGAGCACCTTTATTTCTATGAACACTATTTATTTTTTTCTTTATTTCTATCGCAAAATTAACAAGTAATTTATTTGAACTTATTTCACTTGAGGCTGGTTTCTCTCGCGACGAAGTCAGATTTGGATAAATCCTGTGAAAACTGGATTGTCGGATGGCCTAACTACCGGCATCGTAATTGGTTTTTTTTCAACCTCTGCCTGCGACTCCGACAATTCAGTTTTCACTGGATCACAAACTTTGAAGTCATAAGAGGAATCGGAAGTAAATGGAACTGTTCCGATTCTTCTGACTCCGATTCCGGCCAGATTTTGACACCGCTTACGATTTCGATTTTCGATTTTCATTTGGTTGAGGGCGCTCTTTTGACTGCGACTATGACCAAGACTCCGTCGCCAGTGAAAACCATACGGGGGCGGAAGGGTAGGCGTTCCCCAAAAACTCGAACCTGTTTTCGTAATTTTGAAAGAAATATTATGTAATTATAATTAATTGACTTGATGTCGCCTGCATCCTTATTCATAAGTGAAATGATGCCAGTACTAACTAAGGCATAAAATATGTTTAGAGCGATAGGTAAAAGATCTTAATAAAACATAAGGAAACTTGAAGGATTCTTTGTATTACCGGTACTTTGCCTTGAGTCGCTGAAGACTGTGCTAATGATTTGCCCCTCAAATTTCAGCAATATACTTGTCCTTCTAGTTACACAACCTTGGTGTTCAGGAGGAACGGCACACCAGAAGCAAATGGTGTCATCCAGGTCAAAGCTAACAAAGTCAGACGAATGTTTTTCCTCGAAAACATTGAGGTTTTCATGAGCGATACAGAAGTGGCGGTATATTTATCTGCAGGTATCAGAATAAAGCTCAACACAGGCACCACTTGCGATGTTCCCCGGAGGTGCATCCCTAGTTTGCAAATAACTGAAGCACAAGGCTCAGTGACAAACTCTGTCCCGATGGGCATGCCTTCAGTTGCACATAGCGGCCAATTAAAGCATGCGTAAAGGAGGTCAGACACCGCCATGCTGGCCATTATATATATAAGAGGATATAGAGTTTAACAAGATAACACCTTCTAGATGATACGTTTGCCCGTTTGCTCGATAGAGTATTGAAATTGTGAGAATTTTCTTGTCTATTACTTTTGGGTATAAGAAAAAGTGATATCAAACCACGTTTTCGGCGCTATATTGAAACCTTATAATGTAACTGTCGTGTAATAACAAGATTCAGTTGAATGTAGGGTTATTTTTTCATTTTCCATTGCTTTTAACTAATTACAGTGGAGCCTCGTTTACTCGAACCTGATTAAAACTTGATCCTTGATGAGCGATCGATACTTAATACTCGATTAGTAATTGATCCCCAGTTTATCGTTTCTCTATTATTTAGAGACGTTCTAGTTATGCATTGAAACCTTGTGGGAACAGCAATTCAAAAAGCTGATTTCTTCTTTTCAAGTAGTTGTCAATTTTCCTCGAAGTCCTACAGTAAGTTTCAGTATTGTAACCTCCAGCACGCTACCTTGGGCTTACTCGGAGTTCAGGAAAGAATATGCGCAAGTGACTTTTAAAATACGCAGGGAAAGTTGCAAACCGTCGAGCAAGTCAGAGTAATCTATTTAATTGCATATTGATAGATGCTGATATTTTTTCTCCGTTTACATTTGTACGTAAATGTCTAAACGTTCACTTTTTTCTCCCTCTGCACCTCCCCTACACAATTCATCTTTAGAAGATCCTTGAATCCATCAATTCATTTATGTTAAAGAGCGGGTTAGGTTATCCTCCATATCCGCGCCAGGGGCTCATTTGCAAAACGCTTGAAAACGAGTATAGGAGTAACTAAACTTTATAATCAAATTTGTAAAAGGCGTTTACTTTTTTAAATGCTAATTCCTTTTCACCTGTCACATACTTTCAAGAGAGTATCTTGCGGCCAGGATAGATGCAATCAAGAGCGCCTCTTTGAAGGAATCTGCCTATGGACTGAAAATTATCCGGATCAAACTGACCAATATTCTAAAATCGTCTTTTACCATACCAAGAGAATATAAACAGAGAATGTTCCTCGATGGCGAGAAGATATGAATTTTACTTTCGATTGGTTAGAGCAATATTTTACGATATTATTCGTGCCACGTAAACATAAAATTAACATCTATTTTTTTTATCGTTCTCTTTTCTCTCTATTCGGAAAGTGCATTTACATCTTCGTCGTTTACCATAACAAATCTCGCGGCCATTTAATCATTCCTTACCACGAACAAGCCAAGTTCATTCAGCAAAGTTTGAAACGGCGAGAATTGAAACGTCGTCGTTCAATATCGCGGCCACTCAAAAAATACGCCACTCGGCTCCCGGATGTGGTGGTCTTACTGAGTCTACAAGTGGTTGTAGTTCCCGGTAAAACACTCACGTCCATGTAATGAGGTGTTTTATATTCTCTTGACCATACTTGACATTATTTTGCAAACTAATGCTTGCCATGACGCTAATATAAATATTGTTAAGTTTTTATTGGCTATATCCTCCTAGAATTAGATTTACAAGATTCCAAGGCTCTAGCTCGTCGAAAAAACCTATCCGTACTCGTGGAAAACAACTTATCTCGAAGGATTAAACTCAGTTCTGGTATAGTAAAGCTATGCATGTGTCAATAAACACGCCCTTTGATAAGAGAAACAGTATTCGGCTTCATGCTATGCCTAATTAATAAATAACATGAACGTTCGCAGTGTTGATTTCTTAAGGTTAGCAAGGTTCAATTCTTAAGGTTTGCAAGGTTCATTTGTGAGATTCGTGTTCCGTTCCTTCACAAATATTACAACTAAGGCGTGGTTGAGGTCCAAGCAGAAACCTCTATAATTTGTGCGCGGGGTTTCGAAATATGGTCATCTCGCGTTGTTGTTTTGTATCGGACAGCAATAAAGTAAGGAAAAATTGAAGTTCCGTCTATGCGGATTTTCGCAACAGTTTCCTTTCTCCTAAAGTGCTGTTACTCACGATTTTGCTTGGTTTCTTTTCTTTCTTCCTTTTGGTTTGTTCTTTTTTACAGTATCCAGCTCGTCTAGGGCTGGTGGTTGATCAAGCTCACGACTTTGCGTAGCAGAGGCCAGCTCCTTGTTAGGTTGGAGGTGTTTCTCTTCTTGTGTGAATTGTCTGATGTAGCTTAAGTCCGAACTACTTTCCTTTCCGAATTGTACATTACTGATGGTTCCTGCAGTTTCCCTTTCCACCCTCTCAGAAAGTTTTGCAATTTTACCATCAAGTCCATCGATCCGCTCGTGGACACTATTTTCAAAACGTGAGAATCGTTGTTCAAACTTTTGCATTTCTGACCTTAGGTACTCTTTCAGTCCTCTTTCCATTTCCAGGCAACCTTGCTCAAGGCATGATTGTTTATCTCGGAGTTTGATAAAGGCTTCATGAACCTCACGTCTGAACAAATCAAGAGTCTGGCATATTCTTTTAGTCTCTACACCCGTTGTTTCTTGGTACTTTGTTAACATGTCCCATAGTGCTTCCACTTCCTTTCGTAGGTTGTTGTAGAGGACATCGTCCAATGGGTTACCAAGACAGATTTTAAGGCCTGTGACAAAAAAGGTAATCATCAATTTACAGGCTGAAATCGAACTTCTTATAACTTGATAAGTAACTAAAACACGTGAACTGATTCGGTGAGTATACAGATATGAAGGCATTTTTTACCCCTGAGTTCCTAAACACATTGCTTACTCCAAAATGAAGTACAACCAAGAAGGAAAATGTTTTCCTATTTCATTACCGCGCTCACAAAAAATACCATCTTTAATAATATGTTAGCAGTTGACGCTTTCGACTTTGGTAATCGTAATTGGAGCAAATCAGACTCCTCTTTAAGAGAAGGAGATTCAGTGACTACTTTTAAAAGTGGCCTGTCTAAAGGCACGTTGTTTTGGTTTTTAATGATGTCATTTGTCTATTGAGATCTTGCTTATATTTTTAAAATTTTTAACATCTTAGTTAGTTTTTAGTCTAAGCTTACTTTTCCTTAATGTGATGAACCTTCAGTAAATCAATAAATTTCGATGTTGGTTGCCTTAATAAAGATTACTATCACTATCATTATTATTATTATTCTATTATTATTATTATCAGATAAAATAAGCAACACACCCCTACCTTAAGAAAAAACTGCTAATAACGTCTTAAGACTTACCTTGAGTTTTCCAAAACTCTAGTTTAACCAGTATTCCCTTTTGATCCTCACTTTGAAAAAACTTTTGTACCAGCAATTTCATGGTCCGGAAGCAGTCCTCATATTTCTTATCCGTCCAAACGCAGAAGATGGGATGAGCCCACGGTACCCGCACCACAGCGTTCAAGCTTCTTGCCACACTACGGACATTTCTTTCAAATTCTTCGACACCCGCAAGAACAGCCAGAGTAGCCGAAGCCTCAAATTCATCATCAAAGGCGCTAAATTTCGCCATACGAGGCTCCATGAACAGTTTAGCCAGAGATACTGGATCTTTAACCCTGTAGTCATACTGAGAGCTCGGGTTTGGACATTCGATATCCTTGTTATTATTAATACTCTCATAGTTCACTTTCACCCCTCCGAGTCTTTCCTTGTGCTGACCAAACGTCTGCCTGTCTAGTTGATAACGCTCTGACATCCTCTTATAGTACTCTGGCATTACTTTGTTAATTTTTTCTCTGACTGATGGGATCAATACATTATGAAGGAATATTCCTACCACCAACCACCGTCTCATCTCTATTGATGTCAAATCAGGGTTTATGTTTTTGGATCCTGAAAAGGCGGAAAAGATTATTTACTTGACTTAAAAGAAAGCATTCTAAAATATTTTAGCACGTATCTGTTTTTATTTTCATCATTACCATTTCTCTCCATCCATATCATAAAAGGTTTCTAGGAAATCCAAGGAAAGAGTTTTATTAAAAAAAAAATACAAGAAAAAAATAAGAAATACAATTTAGAAAAGTAGGAATGGAGAAGGGCACGGTATAGTTAAGACTAATTGGTGCCTTATTAAGTGTAATTAACAGGGCTCATGAACTAATTTTTTTTAAAAGAAATATATATATATATACATAAATTTATGACCAATCAAATATATTTGCTTGCGCGCGATTAATCAACATGCGCGATCTCAAACACACGTACTCTGCTAAGTACGTGAAAAATTATCGTCCCAGCCGACCTCGTTCCCAGGGTCCTCTCTTTTCCTCCAGGGAGGAAGAGAGAGAGGACCCTGGAAACGCAATTGTGTGCCTGGTCCCTGTGACCCCAAGGTCATAGTGACCATGTGCTGGTGTCAAATAGCATCGAACTGAGAGAAAACTTCGGAACGTAAGCCCTAAAAGATGTTCAAGAAAGAAATTGTAAGTAGAATGAGATTAGTTTGTTGACCATTTGGTTGTAGAAAAGAAGATCTTGTCATTGAATTAGTTTTATTGAGTCGGCTAAAGTCATGCGCTTATGGTGTTATAATTATAGACGTAAGGATCGTTAAGGAAACTCGCCTGTTCAAAGACAAACGCTCTACTGAGAAAGAAAATAATTTTTTAAGCTCTTGATGCCACTCTGAAAACTTTGGAGCTAGGAGTAACAATGGAAAGTGATCGTACACGGACGAAAGGTTGTGTACAAGACTGGCTTTCATGAACAGTTGTTTTGATATGAGGTGACCAGCTTGTTTGGTTGGGGGGTGGGGTGGGGGGAGCATTCTTCCCTTGTCAATGTTGAAACGAGAAAGTGCTCTACTTCAGGAAACTAGTCTTCTTGAAGGAGTAGATTCTTTGAGTTCATCCTGAAAACCATGAAAACAACTAGTGCGTATGTCATCAGTCTCCTAATGGAGACAAGCCTGAGGACAACCATCTATATTTCAAAATGACAGTTAAAGAAGATTGTTGAAATAGCAGTGAAAAGTGGTACAGCCCAATGATATGGGTATATTCCCTTCTTCAGATCCTTGGTGTATCCTCTCCATGTTGATGGGTTATATGTCAAATATGACTTCAAATTTAACATTGCTGTAAACAATGGAATTATTGTTTTTAAGCATGTGCCAGAGTGTGATGAATCACAAGTGTGATGTGTTTGTAGGAAATGCCTTTCTAAGAGACCCCTTGAATAAATATTAAATTTGTTTGAAGGTTTTACCTGTGAACCATTCTATTTTTAATATTCTTGTGTGCAGCAGACAATAAAATTGTTAAATCTCTTTTAAAATCCAAAATATCTCTTAAGTCTGGCAGAAATTGGCTTTAAAATTTTTGTAAGAAGAAAGAAATTTCCCTTTAGATAGGGATACATGTTATTGTGTCTTGATATTTGAGTAATATGCATTTCTTCAGGTTACTAAACCCTAATTTAGAATTTCATCACCATTTTAATTTCCTTTTTTTTTTTTTTTACTCTTAAATGACACGTGTAATAAATCTGAAGGTAATAATATATCTTGTGTTTTAATTTGTGAGAAACTTGTGTCAAGGAAGAGAAAAGTCACTTCTCTGTTCAATATTGCTGTGTTAATGTGTTTACCCTTGTTGGTTGAGAGAGAAAGGTGATTACATGGTGCTGTAGATTTAGCATCAAATCCACTGTATTTCTTGAAAATATCTTAAGACACAATACAAATTTGAAGTCACATTGAAGGCTGTGTAATTACCCGACAGGTTAGATGACTCTAAGTTCCACATAGACTCTAAGGTCCTTCCAACTAGAAACGACAGTGAGCTTGGGTCCTTGTTTAGGGAGGCTTTTACCAAGAAAAGGTGAAATCCATTTTCCAAAGAAAATAGTCCCTTACCTTTTTATTTGAAACATTTTTGCTCTTATTTGATATGTACATTCAGTGGTTTTTTGCTTTGGCATTAACTTACTGGATGGTTCTCTTCCTCTTTTATGTTGCACCTCAAAGATAATCATCTACCAGTTTGTTTTTATACTGGCCTAGCTACAATGTTCTGTGTATTCCACAAGGAATATACACTTATTTAAGGATATGGGTGTAGGGACATACATATTACTGTGACACATTGTCACTCTCTAGATCTTAAAAGCAATTATCTGAACTGTCTGCTTTACATCTCTTATCATTTCATTTCTAAAAATTTGGTATTGGATCAACTAATAATCTCCTTGTTGATATTTTTTTCTTTATTCTCTTCACTTATCTGCTTTGTATTGTTTTGGTACTGTTAGGAGAAATTCTGTCTTGGTCACTTGTGGGAGTGAAGGGTTATATCAGTTGTGTAAGCTTGAGAAATTTCCACAAGGTACTGGTGGGGTGGGGTAACCCTGGAAACTAAATTGCTCTAAATGAGTTGCCCCTTAGCAGAAATTCCTCCTTGACTTCTCTAGAAAGAAACCTATTAAGTACTACTTGACAGTGATTTTCTCATATCAACCATTTGCAGCAATTTTTCACATGACTAATAATTGATTAACTCTCTGCTTCAGTAACTTGTGGAAAAATCATTTTTTTAATTTAGCTAAAGTGAAAATTTTCAAAGTGAAGGTGGAGGTTTATCACTATTTGAAAACCTAAGAATTAAGTAATTTAGTATAGCAATGAGAGGTGTATGACATATGAGGAAATGAGTTATTACTGAGCACTACAAAAATCAGTTTTCAAATCAATGAGTTGCTTCAATTTTACTAAACTCATCAAGAAAATACAAATTGGTAATGTTTCAGAAATTTAACATTGGTTTGAAAACCTTCTAAAGAAGAAGACAAAGATTTGGAAATCTATAAAGCATGACAGGAGGCTGAAGCATATTTCTGCCACACAAATCTTCCAAATTTATTCCACTTGTTTCAATGAAAAGAGACTAAAAATGTGCATGGTGACACATTTCAAGCAACTGTTTTTATTTCTGGAAAATTGATTGCCTGAATCACCAAGAGGAGACTTTATTACAAACTGAAATGAACGGGTAATCACAAAACTACATGGTATCTCTATCTTAAGACTTTACCACTGTAAAATACCGAAGAGGAGGACCTCATCATTTTGGCACCCTTTTTATTTTGTAATGAAAAGTCAAAACATTAGTTTCCTTCTGGAAATTAATTCGGAATATCTGAAGAAGATTTTATGCCTTCTTGTTTCTAATCAAGAGTGTGCAAAAATCTTCATACCATTTGCTTCGTGCTCCATGCTAAAAAAAATGCAGTTTTGACTGCAATTTCAGTTGCTGCAATCTATGGAGCCCAGGTACAAATTAAATAAAATGGCTGCAAAAGGAATCATCTTGTTCCATTCCATTTTGTTTATGAAAATAATATTAAACAGGTTTTTTTCTAAAATATTCTCAAGCTTTTTCTGTACAAACAGAAATTGGTGGTTTGCAACAGTTGGTCATAAGGGTGATACTAGGTAAAGTTATAACCCAACTGAAATCAATCCAAGAAAACCTATAATTATTTTTCATCTGATCAAAGTGCAAATTTTCAGACAAATATCATTGAAGATCTAGATTTAATGACTTTTGTAACCCTTTCATTCCCAAGCTCTCATTATGAACCCTCCCATCTTTCTCCATACAGTTCTTATGATTTTAGTTTAGAGAATTTGATATTGGATCAGCCAATAATCCCCTGATTGATATTTTTCTTAACCTACAATTGTAGGTTTATTTTTTTGTAATGTCTGTAACAGAGTTATACACAAAAATGTTGGCAACCCTTTTTAAAGAAAGGAAAGTTTCTTTTCTGCTGATAGTCAAGTACCATGTGAGGAATGTTTGTACAAATTATAAATTTAAAACTGTGCAAAATAAGTTTGTTAAGGAAATAAGTTTTCAAAAAAGTGGTCTCTGAATGTAATGTCTGTAACATGGAATTGCCCATATGAGTGTTGGGACATACATAACACTATGACACATTGTCACTCTCTAGATCTTAACAGCAGTTATCTAATTGTCTGCTTTACATCTCTTATTATTTTATTTCTAAGAATTTGGTGTTGGGTCAACTAATTATCATCATACTAATAGTTTCTTTATTCTCATCACTTGTCTGCTTTGTATTGTTTTGATATTGTTTGGAGAAATTATGTCTTGGTCACTTGTGGAAGTGAAAGGGTTAAATCAGTTGGGTAAGCTTGAGAAATTTCCACAAGGTATTGGTAGGGTGGGGTTAACCCTGCAAACTACATTCCTCATAATGAGATGCCCTTTAGCAGAAATTCCTTCTTAACATCCAAATTGAAGGGAGAAACTTATTAAGTACCACCTGAGTGTGAATCTCACAAATCAGCCACTTGCAACAATTTTTCATATGAAAATAATATTAAACAGGTTCTAAAATATTCTCAACCCTTTTCTGTATGAACAGAAATTGGCAGTTAGCAACAGTTGGTCATGAGATTGATACTGGGTAAAGTTATAACCTGACTGAAATCAATCCAAGAAAACCCACAAATATTTTCCATCTGATCACAATGCAAATTTTCAGACAAATATCATTGAAGATCTAAATTTAATGAAATTCCCTCTTAACATCTAAATTAAAGGGAGAAACTTAAAATTAAGTACCACTTGAGAGTGAATTTCACAAATCAGCCATATGCAAAAATTTTTCATATGACTAGCAATTGATTAACTCTTTGCTTCAGTAACTTTTGGAAAAATCATTTTTTAATTTAGCTAAAGTGAAAATTTTCAAAGTGAAGGTGGAGGTTTATCACTATTTGAAAACCTAAGAATTAAGTAATTTAGTATAGTGATGAGAGGTGTGTGACATCTGATGAAATGAGTTATGACTGAACACTACAAAAATCAGTTTTCAAATCAACAAATTGTTTCCATTTTACTAAACTCATTAAGGAAATACAAATTGACAATGTTTCAGAAATTTAACATTGGTTTGAAAATCTTCTAAAGAAGAAGACAAAGATTAAGAGCTAGTCCAGACCATGTAAAAAAGAAAGGGGCAACACTTTTATGCCTCCAAAACACTTTGATCACCTGCTTTTCACATGGTAAATTTCACATATATATATAATCTTTACCTGAAACTAGTGTGAAACTCAAATTAAGACTGAACCCAGATCATACCATAGTTACAAGAGCTAAGTTAACACATGTATGTGTCTAAATTTATGAGTATGAGTACCAGTATGAGTAAGTACTAGAACCACTTGATAGTGAATTTCACAAATCAGCCATATGCAAAAATTTTTCATATGACTAGTAATTGATTAACTCTTTGCTTCAGTAACTTGTGGAAAAATCATTTTTTAATTTAGCTAAAGTGAAAATTTTCAGAGTGGAGGTCGAGATTTATCACTATTTGAAAACCTAAGAATTAAGTAATTTAGTTTAGTGATGAGAGGTGCTTGTCATCTGATGAGATGAGTCATTACTGAGTACTACAAAAATCAGTTTTAAGATCAATGAGTTGTTTTCATTTTACTAAACTCATCAAGGAAATACAAATTAAAATTGTCAATGTTCCAGAAATTTAACAGTGGTTTGAAAACCTTTTAAAGTAGAAGGCAAAGATTTGAAAATTTTTAGAGGATGACAGGAGGCTGAAACATATTTCTGCCACACAAATCTTCCAAATTTATTCCACTTGTTTCAATGACAGGAGGTTAAAAATGTGCATGGTGACACATTTCAAGCAACTGTTTTTATTTCTGGCATATCGATTGGCTACATGGTATCTCTATCGATTGGCAAAATGATTGGCTACTTAATATCTCTATCTTACGATTTTACTACAACTGTACAATATCACAGTGGAGGACCTCTTCATTTTCGCATGCTTTTTATTTTGTAATGAAAAGTCAAAACATTAGTTTCCTTCTGGGAAACAATTTGGAATATCTGAAGAAGATTTTACACCTTGTTTCTAATCAAGAGTGTATGGAAATTTTCATATTATTTGCTTCATGCTCTATGCTAACAAAATGCAGTTTATGAAAATAATATTAAACTGGTTCTTTTCTAAAATATTCTCAACTTTTTTCTGTACAAGCAGAAATTAACTGTTTGCAACAGTTGGTCATAACAGCAATACTAGGTAAAGTTATAACCTGACTGAAATCAATCATTTTCTGCACAAGAGATGTTACAAAGACAGGTGAATTTCCCATATTTACAAAAAACCAATAAGTGAGGCAAATTAAAGACACAAGGATGGAAAGTTCAGACTTAAAAACTGGATGGGAAATTCTTACAGCAATTTGAAATCTTAGAAAAATACAGGTAGTTGCTTAAGGATGTAATATGTCTCTAAATTAAGGGCACTTTAGGAAATTTCTCTCATACCAATCCTTATAATTTGTAACATATCTGAAAACTTTTTTTTGAGCAACACAAGCATAAAATGTTGACATGATATAAGTCCTATTTCATGGTATAGTTATTCATTGGTACCAGTGGGTATTAATAATCTAATTGAGGTATTAAATTGCATATCCATACCTTTCTCTTCAGCAATAGTTGATCTCTCCATGTTTGAACAAACAGCTGCACCAAATACCTGCTGTGTTGCAATTAAAAGCCCAGTATCAGGTTTGTTTAGTAAAACACCGTTAGACTAAGTTGTTGTTAATTTGCAAAGCTGTATATTTCTGTACATTACTGTATATTACTGCCTTAAACGTAACCTCACATAACCCCAATTTACCATGTAAAAGGCATGTGATCAAAGTGTTTGGGAGGCATAGAAATGTTGTCCCTTTCTTTTTTACATGCTCTTGACTAGCTCTTAATCCTACACGCTAAAATATTGGACTCATGTGTACCCTTAGGTCAGTGACTGGAAGCAAAATTAATGGATGTTAAACTCTCGTCTTGCACCTCCCACAAAGCACCTGAGTTAAATTAAGGGAAGCCTAAATGCTTATTGAAAATAATGAAAAAAAATTTACAGAGAGATGATAAGCTTTAAAAGAAGTTAAAAAAAAAAAATGAAGGGTATGATGTAAAAAATCATTATTCACCCTCGTATATCCTAATGGTTGCCTTAAAGGTTTAACCTCCAAGTGAAACCAATGACACTAGTTAAAGGAATACTGGTAGATGCTGTAGCTTTTACTATGCCTAAGGGGTGAAAAAAGCATATTGCAGTGTACAATCCCATATTATGTCACCATAAACCTCCGTAGCAATACTTAAATTTCACTCAATCATTTTTCTGGTCTCTAATTTGTTGGATACGGGTTGGGCGATAGACCAACGTCATTACTAACTGCAACAACTATATCATGCTTCACAAACCAGCTTAGCTTAATTAAATTTAACTCACCTACAGTGAGGACTTCTGATATGTAAGAATTACAGACTCAAGCCTTTGAGTGTAGCTGATTGCAATATCCTGAAAGCTTCTCAGTCGTCTCGGAAGTCTCCGTTCTCCGTTCTCCGTTCTCCCATTCAATCGTAACAATTTTTGATGTTCCTTATACCCAGGGCCGCTCGTTTTTGCTCTTTCTTCCCCAGAGCCTTTCGTTTCCTTAAGCCTGCGGAGCCTTTAAAGCTTGGGGAACATATTGTCACATTGTCCAATCTCAGGCGGCCGAGATGACTTGGCGAAAACTTTTGCATGGAAATTATAGGAGAATGCTTGGGAACAAACGAAACATATAAATTTGTCTTCTGTAGTTTTTCATTATGAAATCTTTGAACCTTACGTTTTTGTTGTATCTTCTCGCTCTGGTTTTACCTCGTGGCATTCCTATGGGGCAGACGAAAGCGGAAATTCGGTTGGGTTTGTTTTTCAAGGTGGTCACAATCGCAAAATCGACCGATACGATTCTGGAGAGTAGTGTTGTTTACTTCCGGTCTTGCTCACTAGTAACTGACTTGATCTTTTCATGCTGACTGAAGAACGTGTTAGAGGTTTAGATTTTAGCAACTGACTGAAAAAGATGCATATCACCGAAACAGGGATGTTTCTGTGTATGTCCATACAACTCAATAGATGATGTTCATTCCTGATCGAGTAGGTGCACATACTCAACTTACGGAGTAGTGTTTTTCATTTGACCCAAACTGACCTAGTAATTTATACACAAGACTACAGATGAATATCAAAGCACTTTCAAACAGGAACTTTTTCTTAGCTAACAGAAGCATATATCAACATATTAAATTACTTTTGAAACAAACGGCACGCCATACAAGACCGCACATTTGATACGCTTTTTGTCCGAAAGTCAACAACGGTGCTCTTTAAAATCCTTTTGGTCCATTTTTCAGTTTTTCACCATCATGAAAACAAACCTAACCGATTTTTAACGGGTCTGCTTTCTTGGCATCCCACGTAATTATAATGTATTGGTGAAACGCTTCCAGGTAATCGTGTCATGCTCAGTTTTGTCAAATGAAGACTTGCTTACCGAAGATAGATAGGACCGGTGGAAGCTTCTATTAACGGGCTGATACATTATTGGTAGACATCATTAGGCCAATAAGAAATGCAAAATTCTGGGTGTTGTTTTAGAGGATACCCAGTCAAAATCTGTTCGCATGATTTCATAATCTTTCTTGATCCTATGCTTTCGGGTATTTCCAAGGCTCTACTAATATAGTTTTGGGTACCCGAGCAAATCCTCCTCATTGAGACAACTTAACGGAGCGTTTAGTTTATTAGAAGATGAAATTTGTAAAAAGCTGTCCCCTCACCAGTCTCTCCACTGACCTAGAAGACAGAGGCTCCGGAGACAATTGAGCCGTCTCGTCCGGGCAGGCCAGCCAAATTTGAGAAAAAGTTGTCCCGCCTGACAGGGTAACCTTACTTGCTGAGGCGAGGTAGCTCGCCCACCTGAGCTGTCTCGCTCTTCGAGACGAGTTCGCCTTTTTCATGTAAACGGTTGGTTGAAAATTTTAAAGAAATAATTGAAAAGTTAGCTCGGCCAGGGTAACTCCGTTGGAAGGTTGTCTCGGGTACCCGAGCCTGTAAATTTGAACACTGTGGATGACAGAGTTTGTTGTATTCTGAGTAACTGGAACTCAGATTAAGTGAACCACCTTTGTTATGAGATAACTAGTGAGTTCTATTGAGATTTAATGCATTTAGAGAATTTTTTTTTCCAGTGATCACAACGGCCACGGCCAACTCTACCTTCTTTTAAGACGGCAACACTTTTAGAAAACATTTTTACTGATGAATAGAGTTCACGTTCTTTAAGCGGACCTGTGTTTTCAGGTATAATTGATCCTTTTCCGAATTTCTCTTTACTACCTGATCAGAGGAAGAACTCGAGTCAAACTATTTGGCTGTCTCTATTTAGCGAAAGCGCGATAGATTAATCGCGTAAAACTCCCAGAAAAAGTCTACGACAGTTAGACGAAACGCGCTTGGACGGCGGAGGACGATCTTGAGGGCCATTCTAACGACGATCCTGGGGATGATCTTGGAGGTGATCCTCGGGGCGATCCTGTGGGCCATATTGAGGGTAATACTAAGGGTGTCGATCTCTTAGGCAAAATGTTTGGGGGCGGAACTAGGTACCAAACCGGTATTCGTAATTTTTCATACTCTTGCTCTCGCCCACCCAGCCACGTGTCGTAATCCCAGTCGAGCAGCGCTGACAATCTACGGCGGTTCTAAAGTTTGCGTCGACCCTTCTAGGGTACGAGTGACTACAAACACTATTTCTTCAACCCTTCTGTTTAACAATCTCATTAATTCTTCGGCTTCAAAGCCCTCCGGATTAGCTTCAACATGCTGCTTGCTATGTCGCTTCAATGTCAACCAATGACGAATAATGGAGAAAACGGACAATGTGTTGCTGATTCACCAGCTGACAGAGCGGCATTCTTCCGCAACTTAAATGTTGTACACATTGCCTTTGCGATTTCTCCTAAGGCTATTGTACCACGAATAACTTGCTGCAGCACGCGATGTAGCCTCGTGCATCCAACAGACTTCCTCTGGAAAAGTGAAAACTTGATCAAAACTTCTACTATTTGGCTATTCGTCAGGGGAAGTTCCCTTTTCTTTCCGGCATCTGGGACGTCAGGAGACGAGAGCTCCGCATTTATAAGTCCTTCATGGATTTCATCTGGATTAAGGAATGCAGATGCATGTACGAACCTGGTTGCAACATCTCCGTATTTTGAGCTCTTCACGAAGTCAAAGTTCAACAGCCATGTAGTGTGGACGGAAAGACGACTCCGGGAATCATGCTTCCTCGAGGGATTTGCGTGACTTTCGCTCAAAAGCTGCAAACGTTCGAGTTTGTAATGTCTAAGGTATTCGCTTGTAGGGCATTGAGGAGATCTGATACGTGCACCAGCCTGCTCCAGAGCAAAGGGGAAGACAACCAAGCTCAACAACCAGCTCATTTAGCGTATCCTCCTGGTCTGAAGTATTTTCACCGCTTGAACGACTTAGGAGAAACTCTTTTGTTCGTCAATAGAGAAAGGTGAGATTCTACACAAAAACTTGTCTCGAGATTCACACATTGACAAATTTCTTTCTTTTCACGCCTTGTTGTCGCAATGAGACTCCCTTTTCCATATTCCTGTCAGAACGTTACGCATTTTCATGGAAAGTAGTGGTTGGTCACCGTCATCAAGAACCATTAGCTACATCTTTTTTCGCCGAGATATAAACGTTAGAATTTGTGTCAGTGTAAAATCTGATGAATTTTTCATCAGTCCTAAACGTAACGCTAGGTCATTCACACAACTTTCAAACTTCTCTTCGTCTTGCATGGAGAACCAAAATACGCCTCCCTCGTATTTTGGTTTATGCTTCCAATCGAATTGGGTTGCTAAGGTGGTTTTTCCACATCCACCAAGACCACAAATGGCCGTTGTTCTAAATTCGCTATGGCTGTTTTCTAAAGGGAGGCATCTTTCAAGCGATTCTAACTCTTTATGTCTGCCTGTAAACCACTTGTTTCGATCTGGCGCATCAAATATTACAGATTTATAATGTGCCGCGGAAACATTGACCTCCCTTGAAAGCAGTGTTTTCCAACTGTTCTGCATCGCCGGCGTTTTGACTTCCAAAATTTTGCTAGAAGTTTCTTCCAGGTCTTGTCTTGTTGGTTGTTCTTCATGTTTGCTCTTGCTCAATTCATGCAATATTTCTACTAACATTTTACGTATTTGATTTGTGTTTTCGTTCGTTTCTTCCTGCCGATCAGTCAATGTTCCAAAGGGCGCTGCAACTTCATCGCGTATGACACTAAGGAATGTGTCATTAAGTGGCTTACCAACGCAGAATTCTAACCCTAAGCAAAATTAGGATAAGCAATTAGTAAACCAATAATAGACCGTTAATTTTCAACGCGAGCTAAAGATTAACGTCACTTTTTATTAAACGAAACCACTAAAATGGATAATTGAATGATCCTCTGAAAAGACGGTTGACCCAAATTGCGGACCAACTCATCTTGACAAGTTGACCACACCTACACAACCGTATGGGATGTGAAGCCACGTGACGTTATTGACCTCTAACGTTCGCTGTAATTTACAACGGTAAGATTTTCTTCACTAACGACAAAATAATCACGCGACCCTCCTTCCCCCAGCGTGTAAATTGTCTCTCAAAAGTTTGGTTTCAGGTCGCCTTTTCAACTGCACACATGTGCACTGGTAGGGGAAAGGGTCGGGTGACAGTTTTGTCGCGAGCCTGGGGATGTGAGCTCGATTGATTGATTAATTTTGATATCAGAACTGTTAATCGACCTCTTCTTTCCACATCTTGTATCGATAGCAAAACTGTTAGCTAAGCCGGAAAAAAGAGTAGGCTTTTGCGGCGTTTAGAGAAATGTAATGACTTTGGGCATGGATATTGGATACTAATCGCTCTTAAACATGTTTGCAAATAGGTGGGAAGCGATATTTGAAAGTGAAAGAGGTTTGGCAAAGTTCTTGAGGTTGGAGGCTGCACGGCTCGATGATTTGTTTGTGAGGAGCGTCAGTTGAAAGGAAGGGGGGGAGGTGGTGAATTTTATCCTTCCTTCAAAAATTACCAGATTACTCGCGACAACACAGGAAAATGAAAGTAAATTATCAAAAGTTGCAAATTGTGGACTATATGAGTCATTTTCCTCGATCAGTTGAATTAAAGTGAGATCGAATTTTGTCAATTTCAGCGAAAGTTAGAGATAAATAATCTTTTCACGTCACGCGGCTTCAAACTCATGCGTTTGCCTGCCTCTGTTTTGCCAGACTCACATTTGGAGAAGACGAGCGGAAAGCGAGAGTGTGAGCCCACGTTTTCGTCTTAAAGAAGAATTCAGATCTTAACTGGAGCGATTACAATCAACGGAAATTAGCAGTTTGAGCCCGACCGTGCTTGGGAACAAGCATGTACAAAGATCAAGCTGTCAAAGGTGTGACATTTTAGCTCAAGTCTCTACTTTCCATGTAAAGCAGTAAAAACTAAGGTGAATAAAGGAAGTCCCATTTAGTTTCGTTGTTTTGTATTTAACACTAGGTAGTCATAACTGGTTCACACTTACTGCAGATTTTCCATTTTTTTCGGAATTTATGTCTTCAATTTAGCCGGTTCGTGAATGTCTCTGTTGAAATTGCAATCCACATCTCTTCAACAGCCAGCACATTCTATCGGCCTTAAGATACAATTTTGGTTAAGACCTCCTCGGCTAGAGGGGAAGACAAAGCAATATCTTTTCAGATATGTGTAATAACAACTTACCATGCTTCCTTCACAACTGTAGGTGCGCCAAGATCTCGGTTTTTTCTGCTGGGGCAAATTCCAGGTCTTCAACCAAGGTTTTCATTCGGTCAAACATGTATTGTATTTCACTTCCGTCCATGATTGATAAACGCAATGGGCCCACTCATTTCTTACTTCAGATCTCACAAGTTTAGCTGACAGCGCTGCAGAGCTGAATGGTGGAGCACAGCAAAGAACAGCAAGAGCCGCTGAGGCATCAAAAGAGGAATCAAATGCATTGAAACGTGCCATTAAAGGTTTCATGAACAACTTGGCCAATGACACTTCATCCTTTACACAATAGTCAAAGCGATGTATGTCTCGACCCAGGGCGGCGTTATGGTTGATACTTTCGCAGTTAAGCTTCAGGGTGGTCGGTGGAATGGTCTTCAGGTGAGTCTGAGTGAGTCTTCAGGTTTGCTTGTCTAATCCATAATTTTCCAACAGATGCCGGCAAAATGGTTTCATTTCCTGTTGAATCATATTTCTGTGATACGGCATGAGAACTTTGTTGAGAACAATGCCAGCCACCGACCACCGCCGATGTTCAGTGTCAGTCCCGGGCGACGAAGCCATGCTTTGTTTTTTGCCTTCTAAGTCACAAATTCACTTAACACCTTGAGGGAAGATAATTGAGATTGATAATTGATAATTAAAGATAATAACAATGGTTGCTCACAACAGAAGCTTATTTGGTCTTGATAATTTGTTTGAATTGTTCTTGTTCAAAAGTGTCTTCCCCTTGCAAAAGTTGTTTTGTTGGTTTTTATATTTTTAAAACCAAAGTTGTCTGTGTTAAATTAGATTTTTAATGATTTATGACTAGCCTTATGGCTATATTTGTCAAATAATAAAACTCTCTCTTTCTTCGTCTTAACTATTCTTTCCACACTTAGATAATCGAACACATCTGTACTTTTTTTATCCACAATTTTAGAATTTTCACCATCACACTTTTAATTTTTCTCACATACTTCCAGACTTCTTCATTACTTTACATGAAACCTTCTTCCTTTCTAATTCATGTTCTGTTTTGTCTTCGATTGATTTATTTAAAGTTGTTATCTCGTCAACACTTTCATACATCCAAAGTATCGAATTTCCGCCACTTTTGGCAACTTCTTAAATTTCTCTTCATTTTCTCCACTCTTTTAATTTAGGCCTTAGATCTTTCTTTATAAACTGCGGTGTTATACAGGGATTTCCGGCCTTGAGAAAAGCCGTAACAACACGTGAAAAAATATCGTATTTTTTCACGTGTGTTAATATAGCCAATCAGCTGCTGACACGCCTCTTGCCTTTGGCGCCACTTGGTCAGGTTGTTGAATGAACGGCAAAGCCTTCAAATAGTTTGTCGGAACTTTCCCGAATTATGGCGGCTAAAACACTAAAAAATCCGTATCGCTGACGGACAGTAAGGTTCAAACTTTCCTAGAAGGGGAAGAAAACCAATATACAAACAGAAAACCGAAAGTTACGAATTCAGTGGGGTTGGTGTGGGCATTTCTCCCAGCTGAGGATGAAAATCGACAACTGGAAGATTTGTCATTGGCCGATTTCGGTCATTTGCCTGAGAGACTTCTGCTGTCGGTAAGGACAAAGTCAATAAATGAGAAGTTTGTAAATTGAAAATTACGACCATTGGTTTCTTTTGTAATCATGATTCAACGCATTTTTCTATCTTAAGAGTTAGCACCAACGCATTCTACGATTGTCGATTCATATATTTTCATTTATTAATGAAGTCGGCTTTTCTTCTCAGTAAAGGGCTATTGTCTTTATATGATAAAAAAAAAAAATAATTCATGGTTGCTTGTGGATATGGAATTTCTCTTTTCGTGTTAAACTCGACATCTCACTCCTTCGCTGCGCTCACTCGTGAGCCATCGAGTTAAACACTCGAAGAGAAATTCCATATCTACGCGCGCCCATGTATTGTTCTCTATTTATTTCATCATTTAAAAACTTTAAAACGTGAAGAGCACACTCGCACTTATACGTGTCTCAATTCCCTCACTTCTGTTTACACCTCCATACTTCTCCACTTCACATTTGCACAACTCTCCTCAAGTTCCTAAGTTTCATAATTCCACGCGTACACTCTATTTATACTTCAAGGTACTATTTTGGCCCTACATTTTTTTCCATTCCATTCTGACAAGCTGTTACGAGAAATGATGCGTAAATTTGAAAAGTTTCTCGAAACAGTCTTCCAAGTATGAGATTATCGATTAAAATGGGTCGATTCTGTTTAGCACAGGCTTACATAGCTTTAGTTCGCAGTGTGGAACTTCAAACAATATTCGCGCTGTGAAACTCTACTTAGAAGTAACGAGAACTCTGAACGGTCGAGTGAGCATGAAACACGTTTTAGCTTGTCACATCGTCAGAATATGATGAAGATATGAACTAGTTAACTATTACAAACTAAATTATGCATTCAAAAAGTTGCCTGAAACCTATCCTAAGAATGCGAGGAGCTTACCGGTACAAAACTCCCATTTCGTTTACCAGCACTGCAACTTCCGTTTTCAACAACTTGTGGTTTCAAAGCGGCAAAATTATCAAATACACTGGATGACCTGACCGATCGATCAACGGTGTGGTTACAGGCTTATTATTCCTGATAAATTCGACTTGTGCTTGA